TTCCGATTCTTTAATAACCCCGCCCCCCCCCCCCCCCCACCACGCTCGACGCAAGATAGAAGTCTAGTAAGCTTCTAAATTGTTTTGCAAGTCAAAAATTTGAAAGTGAATTTCTATTGAGACCAGTTTTTTGTTTGCATTGTAGCTATGTTTTCGTTAGCTTTCAAGTATAGAAATGTTCAATAATTGATATATGAAAATTTTCAAACTATGTGACCAGTTTCAACATACTTATAATAGTTTTCGTGGAATCAAAGATTGACTCTCAATTCTATCTCAGTCTTATATTACTAAGTAGATAAAGTAATGAGTTCTTTTCACACAAACATGTTCATCTGTCTCCAATACTCTGTGGATTCTGATATGAATGTGAATAGTTGTGATTAACGTAATATATATTAGCTAAGAAATTCGTCGCGTTTTGAAAAATTTAGAAAAAAAAACCTATTAGACATGGATTGATATGATTTTGTCGAACAACTTCATCATAGAAGCTTGTGGAAAATTCAAAAGTGCAACGAAATATATTTTAATTATTTTGATGAGAACATTAATTAAGACTTTGATTAAAAAATAAGAGTCTCTTATTTCTAACAGATGTATAGTTCAGTTCTTATGAGTATTATAATAATCGATATTGTATCATCTCACATTAATATTTATTTATTTGAACCGATCCACATTCATCTTTTGTAAGATGTTTGACTTTTCAGCAAAAGATTTACCCATATTTCTGTCCAATAAATAAAAATTAACATCGTTTCATTTCTGAACTGCGTATAAACTTTTAACAACAAGAAATCTAACGGAATGATATAATTGCAAGTCTAATTCCTATCCCGCAGTTCTTCAACAGCTATCTCTGAGCAGTGCATATGAATACGCATTTTTCAGGTTGCGAACGAAATTGATTTGTCCATTGTTAGAAAACATAAACAATGTATAAGAAATTAAGCACATAAACATAGCTATTAGTAAATAGTAAGAAACAATGAGTTATTCTATCCAAGTTTCTTACATTGTTTAGTTTGTGCTCAGGTCGAACACATTAGGCTTCTATTATATCTTTGTGCCGAAGAGATATTAAAAAATAGGTATTTTCAAATTTTTTATGAATTCAACTGTTAAAAATGAAGTTTGTGTCTTCATAAATTGTTACTTTTTATACTCATACTAGACTTGCGTCTTGGAGTACTCTGAATTTAATATACAAAATTTGTTAAAAACACAAAGAAAAAACATTTTAGGTCAATATACAATTGATCAAATTCGACCACAACCTGATGGTACACCATCAAAAATAAAAGTAAAAGTTCATCTTAATCGTCATGGAATATTTGCTATTACACAAGCATCAATTGTTGACAAAAATGAAGAATCAACAGGTAAAAATTTCCTAAAAATGAAAAAAAAATTAAAGCAAAACATTTCCATATAGAAATAGCTATGGATACAAAAGGAGGAATAGAAAAAACTACAGTACCAAATGTTCCAACAACAAATGAGCCAACAGTTGAAGTACGTTTTATTCTCTTCTTTTATGTTGTTTTTTTAATTATTGAATTTTTAAAGAGTAAAACACCTGCTGGTAATAATCAACAAGACGGAGATGAGGATGAAGATGAAGATGAACCAAAAAAAACTACAACAAAATCAAAAATGAAAGGAATTGATTTACCAATAATAGTTCGTGTATCAGGTACAACAAAACAAGAACTTGATCAATTAATTGAACAAGAAGTAAGAAAACACTTTCTATTTAAAGAAGAAAAGAAATACTTATGATTAATTTATTTCTATAGCATGAAATGATTTCAAGTGATAAAAGAGAAAAAGAGCGTTCTGATGCCAAAAATGCTGTTGAAGAATATGTTTACGATATGCGTGGTAAATTAGATGGTGGTGAATATGAAAGATATTCTGATGAAAGAAATCGACAAAGATTATTAAATGATTTACGAACAACTGAAAATTGGTTATATAATCAAGGAATGCATCAAGATAAATATGCTTATGTAGAACGATTAAATGCTTTAAAAGTACAAAAAGAAATCTTTTTTTTTTTGCAATAATTTCATATTTTTTTTTTTTACTAACTAGAATCTTGGTGATCCGATTCGTAATCGTTATTATGAAGCTGAAAATCGTCAATATTATATGCAAGATTTTATCAAATCATTAAAACAAATCGAAGATGCTATACAAATTTGGCAAACAAAATCTAGTGATAAATATTCACATATTGATAAAAGTGATATTGAAAAAGTTTATAGAATTTTAACTGAAAAACGTAAATGGTATGATCAAACAGCAAATCGTTTTAATACACTTAGACAACATGAAGATCCAGCTGTACTTTGTGCACAAATCAAACAAGAACGAGATGTAAGTTATTAATTCTGATTAGAACTACCTCAAATTTTATTTATTATTCTGAATGCTATTATTCGATCTAAACTTGATTTTCATTGGATTTTGAGTAGTCAATACTTGCATCTCATACAGATCGTGACAGGAGCTAGTCACTAGAGCCCATCAGATTCAAAAATTTCGGATTCAGATTCAGTCGAACCGTAATCTGATACTCTTAATGAAATTTTCTAATTGATAACACATAGTCGCCCAGAACATACGAGATATATTTTTTCGATTTTTGTGTTTAAGAACTAATGCATCCTACATACTTCTCAGACTACTAGAGTTCATCGAATCCAAAATTTTCGGACCTGGTCTTGCTAGATCCGTGACTGGTATCAACCCGATGAGCTCTACTACTCAGAAACTGTCCTAGGCCGTGACAGACATTGTTACGATCAAAGACGGTATACCAATAATATTTTCTTATTGAATTTATAGAAAAGTATGGTGACAAAATGTATTTCACATTTTAATTCTGCAGGAATTTTGCTAACAACTTTTTTTTCTTGTTATGTGACACGGATCGTAATTTCAAATCTGTTTATATTTTCAGATTTCATCCTAATTCTGATGGAATTTTTGGAATTAATTACGATCTAATTCAGACTTCATTTCCTGAATATTCAAAATTCTTAAGTTGATATTGATTTTTCTTCTTAGTCCGATTTACCGAAAATTTCTCCTTTAGCTTTGATCACAATTATTATGCAGACTAATCTTCTACATCCTTATTTTTAGTACCGAGACTAGAGAAATAAAATCTTTATCTTTTTTTTTTTTTATAGGCACTTGAAAGAGAATGCTGGAATATATTGAACAAACCAAAACCAAAAGCAGATCTACCGAAGGATACATCAGCTGATGGTTCGAGAAGACAAGCTCCACCATCTGATGGTAAACAACAGCAAAATCAATCGCAACCACCTCCTCCATCATCCTCAGGCAAAAAATTGTCGTCATCAAAGAAGCAAAGTCAACAACCGAATACGCAACAATCTTCCATGGAAACTGATTAATGCAAAATTTCACTAAAAAAACAAAGACTATTTATCTGTTTTTGTGTTTTTTCAAGGGCGCTTATATAATTGTTTTTTTTTTATTGCTGTTACGAGATCTTATTTGTCATTGAGTTATTAAAAATGCTATCTCTATTTATTGTCCCATTTATTCAAGTATATCCAATGTTGATTATTTTTGTTTTGTTTTGTTTTGTTTTGTTTTGTTTTTTGTTTTCGTCTGTCGCACGTTCTTCAGCGAATCCGGTTCGTATTCAGATCTTATACTTGAATTTCTTTTTTTTTTCTCAATCGAGAAACAAATAATATACTTGATAAGATAATAATGAACAAAAAAAAATTTTTTTTTTTTAGTCACGCAAAAACAAAAATTAATGTTCCATACTTTTAGCTTAACATTTTTTTCAAATAGTTTCATTTTTACATGTGTATATGTTAATCAAGATACTTATATTATTTGTTTATTTTTGTTTTCTTTCAATCTTTATTCATTTTAATATACAAACGAACGAAAAACCACTAATTAACTATAGTAAAATAAATATTTTCAACATACGAACAGTCAATTCTTTGTTATATCAATAACAAGAAAATAATAATTAAGCGATTAATTGATACATTGTTTCTATTCAATTAATACTAACAATAGAACAACTGTTCAAGTCATATAGTGTATAACGAAAACAAAAAAAAAATTATCATTTTTATAATAGTTCAGTCGTGCATTATTATGAGAAGCGTATCTAATACAAACAAGCTGTAAACCTAACTTTTGAAGAATAAAAGAACAACACATCATGATTGTTGTGATTGAGCAATGAATCAGAAAATAATATTTTATATCTGTTAACGGAAATTTCCTTCTTCGAAAAAGAATTAATTTTCGTCAGAAAGATTGAAATTGAAATAATATCCTGACATCTAAAGTTTCATAAACAGCATGTTTTTTCTTTATTTGGCATCTCTTGACTTGAAAGATTCTTCTTTCAGAAATATTTTTCTCTATTTATGCTTTTCTAATTGCACATTCCAGAATTCTCAAAGGAGTTTTATTGTAGCCAATCGTGTTATATTTTTTTGAAGGAGTATATGAATTAACTGTTTTATTTTATTATAATATAAAAAGAACATTTGCATAAATATATATGACCATTTTTCGAGTTATTCAATTTATAATTCTTTTGTCTCCATATAAAAAGTAAGAATTTAAAAAGACAAGGCCTCTGCAATCTGCCATACTCTTTCAAATAAAAGACAAACTAAATGTATGGAATAAAAGTTCACAGAGAAGTATGAATTGCCAAATAAGCTATTTTCGACTATCGTTTGTTGAATATCTCTCGAAAATATCATACTACACAACTGAAAATTTCATGCGATTTAAATGTACCTGATCACAGATCAGTTTTTGAAGATGCACGATATTGAATTATAGTATCTTGTATACAGATCTTGGAATAATAAACTATTTCCAATAATGAGTAATGATTTCAATTGAATCATATGAAAAATAAATATTACCTTTGATTTAGATCAGTTATCTATTCTTTGATCATCAATAAGCGTGCCACTAATTTTTTTGTTCTAGTATATATTCGTTAGCTATTAAACTTCAATTAATCTCAACCACTACAAGTGAATATTCTCTTTAACAAATACTTGTTAATTATCATGGAATATTCCTAAATAATCGTGAGAAATTAATCCATATTGACACATATTCGTTAGAATTCTCACAAAAAATTTTCAAGAACAACAACAATGATAGTTTATTTATTCATTTACATAATTGATCTAGCTGTTACATTTCTTTTTTTTTCCTATTTTCGTTGGGCGTCAATCGTTAGTATGTCTATATAATTTTTTCTCGTTGACCGATCATGAAGTTCAACGTCGTTTTTTTTTCCTTTTCTCTCCTATAACAAACATGGTGTGAAAACGAAAAAGAGAAGAGGAAAAAAAAAACAAAACAGTAGCATATATCATCTATATTTGAATAGAAACGGTCGAGTGTGGTAGTGGTATAAACACAGGCATTTATTCAATACAACAGACGAATTGACATGGTGAGTGTAATGAATGAATATCTATTCATTAGTAACGATTAAAATTAATCAATATAAATTCCGATTGAATAATCATTTGCGAACATTCTTCATTTTTTTTTCTTCAGAATTTCATTTATCAATGAATCGTTCACCGTTAAGCGATTTTAATCGTCGACGAAGTTTATTTGATTCACCAAATTTTGTACGTTTTATTAATAAAACTTTACATAATCAAGAAAAAATTGATCCTGATCTAAATTCAACAATAAATTCAAATTCACAAAATTATTCATCTTATAATCCTATTGAAAAACATCGTGTAGCTATAACAAGAAAATTAACAAATATGAATGAACAATCTCCTTTACAATTAAATCGCGGTACGAAAAATAAGTTTCAAACAAAAAATAATGTAAAAAAAAGAAAATTTTCTTTGTTTTTTTAAAGGTATTATTCAATTAAGTCTTATTACTTCTGATAATCATTTAACCGTAAAAAGTAATATTTTATTTAATTTTTTAATTGAATTTAAATAAATTTCTTTTCGATTTTTGTTTCTAGTTGTACGAGTAAAAAGTCTAAATCAACGTTCATCAAATATTTTAATAAAAATGACTTTAATACCTGATCGTAAACCATTAGAATGTAATACACGTGCTGTACCTAATTTAAATGGTTCAGCTATATTTAATGAAAAATTTACATTTGAAATAAACAATGATGATTTACATAAACGTTTATGTTTTTCAATATATAATTATCAACAAGAAAAAAATGATATGCAATTACAAGGTTGTTTATCATTTGGTATTAAAAATACATTAAAAAAACAACGAGTAAACACAAGAAAGAAAATCTTCATTTGAAGAAAAAAAAAATTTCTTGTTTTAGATTCGTGGTTGGTTTCATATATTACAGGAAGATATTGGAGAATTACGTCATAAACAAGTACCTGATCATGGAGAAAAACATATTACTTCAATTAATCGGGATATAGCAGATTTAGAAGAACATCAAGTATGTTATTCTTCATGTTTATCTTTGTTAATGGATAATCAGAAAGTTTTTACATAAGCTTTTTATTCACTTTTGACCCGCGCTATGGCGATTCAAAACTAAATGTTAAGGATCTTTATTTATATATCAACTTATAGATGAAAGACTATCCTACAAAAATGCTTCTTGTCTTTCGACAACGTACCTTAATATTCGTTTTTAAAAAATCGACAATCATTTTCCGTTGAAAGAGGTACTTGAAGAAATGTTCAAATGAAAACTACAGCTTAGTGCAATATCACATTCTGTAGAGAAGTATTTGCTCCAGGAAACGAACGTCGCATATTCAAAAAAAGAAATTTGTAGGGTAAACAAAAGTCTATTGACTTGAAAGAACACAAAATCATAGCATTTGATTCATGGGAAATACTTTCTAGCGGGTTAAAAAAGGGAACAAACTTAATTATTTAAAAACTTTGCAATCATTGAATATTAAGCAAAACCAAAAGTATTTTTCTTTAGTTTGTTATATCACGTGGCGTCAACGATTCATTTGGTTTTACTGTTGTTGGTGAGAGTCCAACATTTGTTGGAAAAGTAACTGAAAATAGTCCAGCAGCTCGATGCGGTCTTAAACCAGGTGATTATATTGTTAAAGTTAATGGACAAAATGTTTCACGTGCACAACAAAGAACTGTATCAAATTTAATTAAGTAAGAATTGTTTTGTTTTTATTACTAATTCATTTGATGGATATGTATTTAGACATTCAAAACATTCAGTCACATTAGATATTCATCGTTATCCAATTGTTAATCCAACACGAACAACAAATCGTGATATACTATCATTATTATCATCAACGGGTACTGTATCAACAGAAGATTCATCAACATGTAGTGATTCATCAATATCATATCCTTCTCATCGTTTTAAACAAATATCATCATCATCAAATTCGAATCGAAATTTTGTTGATCTTGCACAATTAGGACATTATGTTGAACCAAAACCGTTAATACGACAAATAACAGGATCATCATCAACAGCACAACCATTTTATGAAATGACAAATTCATCAATGTTAGCTGTTAAAGGTTCACCAACGAATACATTTGTTTAAAAGATAAAAGAAACAAAGAAATTCGTTCGTTGCTTTAAAGACTTGTTTATGATAGTAAACTTGAAGTTTTGTGTTCTTTTTTTGTCTTCTTTGACTATAATGTATAGAAAATAATTCATTCTGTGCTCGTTTTGTTTTTTTTTTTTTTTTTGAAAGTTTATTTATTGTTGTGTGTTATGTGAAATAGATTTTTTTTGTCGTTCATATTTGAAAATGAGAATATATTACGAATTACAGGAAATGAAAATTATGGACTTGAATTAATTGTAATTCTTTATGTTGAAAATTATGTCGATTTTTTTGATTTATAAAAAAAAAAGAAAAGTCGATTAGTTAGAGAGATATTCCAAGTGTGTAAAATTGAAGATTAAACATAATTTCGGAACATTTTTTTTAAAATATAGTCATTGATGATTTGAAAGTAAAAGAAAAATTTACTTTCAACATGAATGTCAGAGAACATTACTGAACGTGTTTCTTACAAGTATTGTAGAACATCCAAGTTAGCTCATTGATTGTGATCCAATGAAGTTCTAGTCTAGTAATGAAATTCGTTATTATTTTCGATTATTATGAATAGTAGTCAGAGAGAGAGCAGATACAATACCAGCGATTACTGGTTCGATGGGATGATTATTTATCTCAGATGGATTAACATTTACTCAAAGACAAACATGTTTATCAGCAGATCAAATTCGTAAGATATTATTTATTTGCTCATACGAGAAACTCATGAAAAAGTAATAAAAATAATACTTATTCCTTCTTGTCGTTCACCTCTTTATATTGATTAAATTTTTGAATCCTGTATCTTTATGTTTGTTTTATTATTGTTTTGTTCATCATATGGATGTCAAGTACTTTTCTTTCATGGCTCATTTAATTTCTGCTGAAAATCGTATGATTATGTTTATTAATATGATTATATTGTAAATGATATTTGTATAAATAGTATATCATTGATGTTTGATATTGTACCTCATATACAGACAAGTTCTATCCTTGTCAAGATTGCAATGAAAAGATTGTTCTGTAGACCAGATGCAAAAGAATCCCGCATTCTACAAGGACTAACTTTCTGATACCGTGTTCTGCGTCTTGAAAAACAGGTTAACTGAGGGATAATGTTCTGCAGAATGTAGAGAAGGACGAAGAAAACCATCCTGTGATGTTCTCTAATGGATGCCACTACAATGACGTCAATGAGATGAGACAATTTTAGAAAACGATCGAACTAAACTACATATTTACATTCATTTTATATCAAAAGATGTTTTTAAGAATATAGATAAATCTTGATACGATTTGAGATCAAGTCATTTTTCGACTAGAATCTTTCTATTTTTATGGTTCAAGTTAAGATGAGTTGTTCAATCATAGTTTTAATGTAAACTTCAAAAAAGCTTGTCTTTCTTCTTTAAGACGATTTCTTTTATAGTCATACTTTTAGTACTACTTTTTAATTATAAATTTTACTTCTATCTTTGTTTTATATATTTAATTTGTCAACGAAAACAACGAACATTTCTGCAGAGACTTCACAGAAAAATCTAATTCAAAACGTCAATTTGAACATATAAACATTGTTTTTTGTTTTCTTTCTTTTTCGATTGTGTACTCATTTAACTATGGAGAATTCAGGACTCCGTGTGAGATGGGACTTCACACTTGTCAAATTTCTTGAAAAAAATTTCTGAACATATCTATCGTTTCCATGAATACTCACCAAATTTTACGTCATTTTATTTTTTATTTCATGATTTTATAATAACTAATTTCACATGTCTTTTAATTATTTTCATAATAAAATAACACATTTTATTCTCTCTATAAATGTAAACTATTTCTAATTTCACTTGAGTTCCATTACCATATATATATCGACGGAGATCTTTTTCTTGTACTAGGAAATATTTGTTGAGCACAACTATGTGTGTTGAGTATTCGTGTACTCGAACTCGATGTAAATGCATACGACTGAAAACATGACTGACAGCTGATGAAGTTTAGAATTGATTCAAATTCTTCTTTTAGACGATTTTAATGACTTAATAATTTGATGGATCTTTTTCTAATAAGCGAGTAGTTTGTTCAGTTGTCATTTCATGAATAACTGTTGAAGAATCAACAATAAAAGATGAGGCTAAAGTGATCATAGAAAAAGAAGAAGAGACAGCATTGGTCGAACTTATTGAATTAAGTCGATCAGATTGATATTGAACAATAGACGATGAATTATCCGAAGACATACAATCGATTTTAAGTAAAATCAGAAGCAAATCATTTGTTACTATTACAATAGATTGGACTGCATTGTTACTTTATATACTGATTCATTATTATTTATTTTATCGAATTCCAATGGTTACAGCGCTTAACGACATACAGAATCGGAAAAAAATTATTTCTCACTTGTTTCACTCAAATAGGCAAAAAGAAAGTCTATTTCGAGACAATTGTGTTCTTAATAAAAAAAACTTTCTGTGAAAGATGTTTGTCCAATCAGATCTCGTGAGATATTTGTTGTATCCGAAAAGATTATACTATCCCATCCCACGCGAAGCCCTAGTAGAAATTGCATGCCATATTTGTTTTTGTCACACGTTTTATTGATGTAGAATAAAGTAAACAGTCAATTTTTGAATAAAAATATTCATCATCATATATCAGTAGGAGGAGATTCTCAATAGAAAAGTAGAAATCAAGACTACATGAACAATATTATTTCTATCATCGATCATAAAACCACGATTTATCACAGAATTCATTAGAATCACGAAAAAAAAAATCGGCGATTTATTGTGTCTCAGATCACGATTAATCAGCAATTTCGAGGATATGGAAGTCTTTCACTATTGATGAAATTTCTGGAGCTCCAAAAAATTTAAACAAAACTGTATTCTCTTTGTAGACTTGAAGTCGATACAATTTAGTTATGGTTTTCGGATACTTTCAGTATTCTTAAAACAATTTAAGAATTTGGCTTGATGTCAAGTTTTAGGAAAATCGCAGAGATTTTCATATGGCCTACACAGTTCATTGTACAAAATTCGTAATTAGGAATAATTATTCTTTTCATGCTAAGACATTTGGCCGAAAATAATTGTTCAAACACTAGTGATCATAACTTAGCTGTAATAAATCTTTTTATTGTAGTTTATGCATCAGTATATTTGTGGAGTGTTTCCAATGTTTTGGTTTCTTTAACACATTGTATTTATATCAAATATTTAAATAAAGAAGTTTAATAAAAATTTGAACGATGTGAAATTCTTTTAATTTGTCTATTCTATTAACTACAAAAAAATAAACCGCTATAAATATCTTCACTATTCGTTAATTTTGTAAGAATAAGATCCATTAAGATCTTATTAAAATTCATAGATCCAATTAATATTGAATAACAAATACATAGAATATATAGCAATATGTTTTTATGTAAAAAGATATATGTATTACACTTTCAAATAATTTTACCAATACGAATACTTTTTAATTTTAATTACGATCCTGTATTGCTAGATGTAAGGATTACAACAACAGGGAACCATCATATTTCTGGTGATTTCGATCACGGGAAATTAGTTGTTATCTACTTATTACAAATCAACAAGAAAGATGAAAATTCTTACAAATGAAAGAAAATCTAGAGGAACTACTAAGAATATTAACAATTCATGTAGGTCAAGAAAATCATTTAAATTCAAAGTTTTAATTTTATTGTTATTACTGGAGATTTTCTATCATTTAGAATAATTTCCATTGATTCCTAGCATAGAAATCAGTTTCTTGTATCTTAGATCAAAATTTCAAAATAAAACTATTCAAATTGAATAATGTAACAACTCTGTAGATCGACATGACATATTCTAACGTTTTCTACATTTAAAGAGCTTTGATAAATCATAGATGGTATTTATCAACGATTGTCATTTATAAAAAGAAACGACACAAAATTTTACAGCTTTTAATAAGTTCGCAAAGAAATTTCCTATTAGGAAATGTTATCAGTTTTAAAGACGTAAAAAATTTTTCAAGACTTAAAACTAAATTCAGAGAAATTTCAATCCATGTTGTTTGATGAAAATTATGATTTTAATCAATGCATAGTCATTAGCGTTAACACCTTTGGTGTTAGAAGTATTCAGAAACTATTTTTGTAATGGATACGAAGATAATATTTCCTGAAAACATCGGAAGATTGAATCGAGTTTTGTTTTTCAAAGTATAAGGTATTCCAGAATTAAACAATATTTTAGTAACATAAATAGAGAAGAAAAAGAAAAAAAGCATAAATTCTCCTAAGAAAAAAAATATGGATGTATCTCCTAAGTCTTGAATAACTTGGACTTATGTATCGTTCTTCTACAGTTACAACTCCAGATGCGTCTATCGTTTCTGTTAATCTATTCTTGTCTTTTTTTACACATTAATATTTATTGAGTTGTATTCTATGCAAAAAAACAAACAAATACAAATATATGTATTGTTATTTTAATTACACGTCGTCTCAGACAAAAAATTTTCGTTGTTGCTATCCTCCTTGAATCGAAAAGAAAAATTCAAGGTTCAGACTCTTCCTGTCAAAAGATTATAATTTGTTGTAAAAATAAATGTCAAAAGACACAAAGAATACACCATTGTTGAAGTAATGTCAATCTGAATACTTCACATGCAATGTTAAATAAGTACAATAATGAAACACATCTTTGTTGCTATGTGATTAAATATGCCGCCACCATTATCCAATACACATCTTCGTACACCATTTGGCTTTAATGAATTACTAACATATTTAACACGTGAAATTCTTCGATCACAACCAGAGAATATTTATGAATTTTGTTTAACTACATGTCAACAATTGTATTCTTTTATCTTTCATTTTTTTTTTCTTCGTTTAATCTTGTTTTTTGTTTTTTTATTTATATTAGGATTAATGAGCGAAACAATGGCATTCTATCTGATGAATTAATTAAATTAGATTTGATTAGTTATTCTCGTGAGAATCAAGAAGAAAAACAAGAACAATAATATCGAATTCATCAAAGAACGAATTGAAGCATAAAACTCATGTGATAGTATATACTTACTGTATCTACATTCAAAAAAAAAATGACAACGTATTATTGACCATTCATAAGATATGCCTCATTAACTAATGCACTAAATAACTATTTGATCGTTAGTTCACTAATGACGTTTTTATTGTTTTTTTTCTTTTCTTTTTTTTAAAATCATTGATATCATTGAGTTCTAAAGGTTATCAATAATCGACATTCATCAGAGTGATGAACTAAGACGATGGTTAATCAATTTTATTGCGAAACATTGATATTTAAGTTCATACTATCAATCATATTATAAGATAAAGATAAATATAGAGGACATTCTTTTGTAATTATAACAAAAGTATAAAGCTATTTTCGAGAGGTTATATTTTGGTTTATTAAATTTTTATTGAAGTATCTAATATCATGCACAATGTGTTGTATATCTTTTCACAATAAAATAAGTAGGATGATGAATAGGAAGAAAACAAAATGTTTTGGTGATAAATATATAACGACAACAAAAGAATAGCACAACTGTTCCTCATATACAAAAAAGAAGCAAAAACAAGAAACACAAAAAAGAAAAAATTTACACTGTACAAGTACTCGATAATAATACAATAAACAAATACATTTTTCGGCGGTATGAAAGGAAGAATGAGATATGTGCAAAAGACAGAAATGATAAATGTGCATATCACACGAATTAAAAGGTAGATGTGCGTTTTGTTTTTGTCAAAAGAAATATCAAGAAAAAAACCGAAGAAGGCCCCTTATTTCATTAATGTGTCATAAATTTTTTTTTACAGCAGCACCAAATTCACAAAGCACTGTTTTGCAGTAGAAGGCAAAAGAAAATAAAGGACAAATATCATCATCCATACATATATATATATATATATATAAATATATACACGAAAAGAAAATTCCATTGCACATCTATACAAAACAAGAAAAATACACATAAGCAAGTTTTAAATTGAGCATATGCATGCATTTCTATACATTTTACGGAAAGACTCCTCCTATATCCATTTCATTATCAAAACCAAATGATGTCGAAGATAAAAACGGATCATGAACTAGTGGAGATAATGGATCAACATTATTATTATTTGTATTTCCACTAACACTGGTTATTTCATTACTATCTTCATCAACAATACCATATGCTGATAGTGAATCAAGTGGTGGAAATGTATCAATTGCTCCGAATATAGGTGTCGATGGTGGTACTAATGGATTTGTTGAATTATTTAATGATGATGATAATGATGATGGTTCTTGTTTAACTATATGTGATGTTGTTACAGCTATAGCTGGTGAAGTTTTTGTTGGTGAATTACCTGAAATACCATTTAATACACATTTTTTTTCTAATTCCTTAAAACAAAAAATTAAAAATATAAAATTTTAATATCTTTTATTTTGTTTTTACTCGAATTCGTTCTTGTAATGCCAAATTTTGTTCTGCAAGCATCTGACATTTTTCTTCTACTAATGATATATTGTCATATTGACGACGTAAAATTTTTATATAATCAACTGATGCACGTAATATTGTACCTTTATTTTGTTTAATATCTCTGTACAAAAGAAATAAAAAAAAAGTAAATTTAACTGTAGTTAAACATTTACTTACAAATCGGTTCCTTTTGGTAATAAAGTTCCAAGTTCTTTAATACGATCATTAATATTAAATCGACGACGACGTTCAACTAATGAATTAAGATTTCAAAAAAAAAAGTTTTTTTTTTTTTTCATTTCGTCTTACTCATATTATGATTATCTTTTTTTTGACGATCACGTAAAACAAGTCTCATTTCATCTTCTGTTAATGGTAAACCAATTTTAGCTTTAGCACTTAAAATATTTGTTGGACAAGATGATGAATGATGATTAATACTATCAGTAGAATCTTTTGAAACTGATGATGAAAGATATATTGAACCAGGATGATCACCAGTCATTGTTGTTGATAACTAAAATTTAAAAAAATTTTTTTTTATGTTATTTTTTATTTTAAATAAATATTTAATTTACTCGAGGTGTTATATTAATTCCGCGTGATGTACTATCAATACTTCCACATGTTGTATCATCATTAAGTTGATCATCCATCTAGATTAAAAAAAATCAATAATAAATATTGAAATAATATGTTATGGAAATTTTACTTCAGAAGTTATTTCACT